CACCACCAACAAAAGGTAATAGAACATCAGACAGTCACAATTACTACTCCCCACCACCACCAACAAAAGGTAATAGAACATCAGACAGTCACAATTACTACTCCCCACCACCACCAACAAAAGGTAATAGAACATCAGACAGTCCAATTACTACTATCACCCACCAACAACAAAAGATAGTAGAACATCAGTCACAATTACTTCTGCCCACCACCAACAACAAAAGGTAATAGAACATCAGACAGTCACAATTACTACTCCCCACCACCGAAAACAAAAGGTAATAGAACATCAGACAGTCCAATTACTACTATCACCCACCAACAACAAAAGGTAATAGAACATCAGACAGTCCAATTACTACTATCACCCACCAACAACAAAAGATAGTAGAACATCAGTCACAATTACTACTATCCACAACCAAAAACAAAGTATAACGGAACATCATACAGTCACAATTACTACTGCCTTTTTAACATTCATTTAACGTTGAAGAAAGTCAAGTTAATTTTAGTTGTTTATATTTGATGCTATCTATTCATGTGTTTATCATGATCTGTTGCTTAGGGAGAATGTCATTAAATATTTGGTTTTTGCTAGCAAACTTCTTGTGTGTACTATTGCTAAAAATAATCATGATTTACATTGTTCTTTGTGTACTCTAATCATTTTCGTAAAAATCTACAATATTATTGTAGCTAGAAATTGTTTTTTGGTATTTAGTTATTTGTGTAGCACTTATAAGGGATGAGAAAACCCTCAGTATGTTAAAACATCGTTCCTTAACAGAGATTTAAAATGTTATTTAATGCTATCTAGTCTTCGGATATCTTCCTAGTGTTTATTTCTTTCTACCACAAGTTACGTTTTCGACTGTATGCCATAACCTACAAGAATAATGGAAAGCTATTTGTAATAGTTTTTTCTTTTACGTTGCTTCCTGTTAGCCGTCATCTGCTTGATAAAAAGGAAAAATATGTTAATTAAAACTGTTCTAATTGGCTGTTGGAGATTTCGTGTTCAGTAAGGTTAGAATGAAGGGTGCTAAATTAATTGTATGATTAAGATGCCAGGACTTATTTCATGAAATAGTTACTCAGTTAAAATTACTAGCGGTCAAGAAATATGAATTTATGTAAGAATTGTCAAACGTTTTGTGTAAATCTAATTTTAACGACCTCGAGTATGTACGTGAATTAAATACGTGCTAAAATATGCATATTACGTTTATCAATATATAATTCATGAAATATAGCTACCTTTACCCTGAACAAATCTTTACAATGGTGTACTAAAACACTAGTTTCCTCAAAAATTCTTAAATACACACAGAACAAATAACATTCACCTGCATGTTATAAGAGAATGGATATACGTGTAATAAATATGTGTAACTAATAACAATAGATAAAGTTCATCATTCACGTGTTATGTTTCAGTAGATTTGACTGTAGCTTCATCTTACAAGGGAACTAGTAACAGTAGATAAAGTTCATCATTCACGTGTTATGTTACAGTAGATTTGACTGTAGCTTCAATCTTACAAGGGTAACTAATAACAATAGATAAAGTTCATCATTCACGTGTTATGTTACAGTAG